AAAAAAAACGAAAAGAACAAGAAAAAAAAGAAAAAAAGAAACTTGAAAAAAAACGAAAAGAACAAGAAAAAAAAGAAAAAAAGAAACTTGAAAAAAAACGAAAAGAACAAGAAAAAAAAGAAAAAAAGAAACTTGAAAAAAAACGAAAAGAAATAGAAAAAAAACAAAAAAATATAGAAAAAAAAAGAAAAGAAATAGTAAAAGAAGATGCTGAAATTAGGAAGATGATGATATGAACATGAAGAAGATGATGAAGAACAAGTGGCAGAGAAGAAACGCGCCGAAGAACAGGTCGCCGAAGGAAGAAGTAGAGAGAATAAGATCTAGTGCGAAGACACAATATTTGCAAATCGAAAAATATTTGTTTGGAGGCGCTCTCCATCCAAGCATACCAACCAGCACACCTGTGTGTGTGCTGTACTTCTACACAGCATTGTATATATCTCCCCCCCCCTCTCCCTTATCAGAAGAATTTTTTGTTTTTATAAACCTTTGAACGTTTCCACAACGTGTTATAAATACTTTTTTTGATTAATCCTCACTCGTTTAGTTTGTTTGTTTCTGCATATAATATTCCGTGTATGTCCCATACCACTTGTACATATCTGTTTACTTTACAAACAAATGTTAATTTTTTTTTTTTTTTTTCAAACCTGCGCTTTAAAGTAGTATTGCAAAAAAAAAAAAAAAAAAAAAAAAAAAAAAAAAAGCATCGCATGAGAAAGATGGGGTGCAAAATGGGGAAACACACACCATCAACGGTACTTCACCTGTTCTATGTATATTACACCCAAGTGGGCCCCCCAACAGGCATGCGTATATTATAGCGACACACATAAAATACGTTCGTATATAAAATACTCTTGTACGCTTTTTTATTCATTACATTGCTGGGCGTCGTGCATAGAATCCATGCTATAAAGAAACGAAAACAAAAAATTTTGCTACGACGAGGTAGGTGTTGTCTCGTGCAGATTTGAGACATCCTTCACGTGGACTCCTTTTCATTCTACCTACAGAGGTGAACTTTTTCTTTGCTCCTTCATCGTGCCCATAAAGCTTTAGGAGGCACATCCTGTGAGTGTATCCTATAAGGGGGTTGTAGGGTAAAAGACGCCCCATCTCATTTTCTCCCTTTTAAAAAAGCTTAGAATGGGGTGCAACACGAAATAGGGACCCTCTTTTAGCTCCATTATAATATATTTATTTTACGTTCCCTTTTTCAGCGCTCAAACGGGGTATTCCCTCATCTGTCACGGCGGGTTACGCATACGCAGGTGCGCGCAACTTCATGTCAAGGGCGTATTATTAATGCGCTTCTCTATTTTTACGTGTTGAACAGTCCACGGCCTGATGGCTTGTTTTTGTTTACCCCGCAAATAATACAAAAAAAAAAAATGAACTTAGCAAAGAAGAAATAATTATAAAATTCATGCAAAAAAAGAAACAAATTAAGGACTTGTAAAAAATATATATATATGCAAAATAGAAGGACCTTTGCAGGAATTTTAAAAAAAGGCCTACTCCCCTATGCCATTTCAGAAAAAGTATACACACCGCATAATCGCGCGTTAGATTTGTTCTCTGGCAATGGGGCGGTAGAAAAAAAAAAAAAAAAAGACCCATAAAATAGCGACCTCTATATATATGCATCAGGCGATGGAGAGAGGCAGTAAAAGGCCCATACCAGCTGAAGTGCAAAAATAACCTGCACAATACCAAACGGAGCTGGAAGGAAAAACATTCTCTAAAATGGCCCACAAAACAAGTAGCTATGTGGAAAAGAGCCGCCACCACCACCACCTCACCACGCATAATTATTTTTTATCATTTTATACATTTTATGCATTTTTTAACAATAATACAATTTTTCGCTCCATCTCTGCGCGTGACCTTTAACCCGAGCCAAGAGTATACGGATGAGATGTGAATTATTTTATTTTTTTTTTTTTTTAATAAAAATAATTTGACTGCATATTTATCAACACCAAAATAAGTTGTCCTCCCCCAACAGTGCACAGTTTTGTGTCACGTCAGTTCTTCATAAATGGGGTTTTCGCGCCAGTGTTTCAAAAAGGAAGACAAAATGAAAAAAAAAAAAAAAAAAGTGCTATCTTATGTATTTCCTATTTCACTCAGGTACGCAATAAATTTTACGTCCATGTTGGGGAGTGACCACTTTTAAAACCTTTTCTGGTTTCGAAAGGATTTCCTTCTTTAATCAATTTTGTTTTTCTCATGATTAAAATAAAAATGAACAACTGCACATGGTTCATCCACATGTAAGTCTGATCCCTCCTTGGGTCATTCCGCTGGTAACCAAAATATGGACGCGATGGGCTGGGGGTGTTACCAACTGGGCGCCAACCTTTGTTCTTATAAAGTGAAGAAGGATCCCCCTCAAAGCCCGTCCCCATTTGTCACACCCTCCTGAAAGCACAAATTTCCATGCAATTTATTTCTCCTGACGAACTTTCAAAAAAAAATGCGCACCTTTTGATGGCTGCTTATTGTCCTATTGAGAAGAAAAAAGGTTAACGACTACATCACTGCTCCCACAGCGCTGCCCCCCCAACGCTGCACCGTCCAGACGAGAACGAACAAATACATGCCCCCCTCGGGGCTAGGGCAAGGCTGCGTACCCTTCTAGGGGACCAAGTTTTAAACAAATATTCTTATAACCCTCGGCGAAAACTACTACGCGCGGATTACACACTTGCACCTGTTGGAGATATGCGGCGCGCACATTGGCCCAATATATATTATAAGCCACGCTGGACTAGCCATAAAAGAAAAAACAAAAAAAAAAATTCAAAAAAATTGTCACAAAAGGGTTGATGCGCAAGGAGGATATTTTATTAATACTGCTTTTGCTTGTCGTTTTGCTCATCCCCATCAATTTTTCCTTTTTTCATTCTTTTCGCTTTATGCGTTTGTGCAAACTACTTTTTTTATATGGCCAAGCATATAATATAGGTAGATCACAGGGGGGGGGCCCTCTTCCCCTAGGCGCAAAATAACACGGGTACACACTTCTACACATATGTGATCATAAATCGTGAGCATCTTCGCATGGGGGAAAAAACAAAAAAAAAAAAAAAAAAAAAATGACAATTGTGAAATTGCCCAAAAGTGAGAATTTTTATTTTTGTTATAATGTATAAGTAAAACGTTTCTTTCCTGATGAATTATTTACCCCCATATGAACAATTTTTCCATTTGTACACTTATATTATGTAAATTCTTTCTTTTTTCCGCATTTACCTTTTTTTTTTTGGTTTTTCGCTTAGCAGTATCCTCTGCATTACACT